ATCTCTGTGTTCCCATTTTTATTTTCTGAACCCCTTGATAACTTCAAAGATGGTATTTAGAACAGAATGTTGCCCTGTAGTGGTCAAAGCATTCCTGGTTTTAGTAAGTGCTAAGATCCCAAGGTGCCTGTCCCCTGCCCTTGCAAAGTAGAGCAGAGTATGTTTATTAGACACCTTTAATTTGGTTGTGTGTCTCTTCCTTTCCACGGAGTCCAGAGTTGTCATAGTGGTGAGGAGGAAGAAGAGGAGGAAGACAAAGAGAAAACATTTGAAGTAAGTTTTCATGAAGATTAAAAACAGGACCACCCTCCACAGCCAATAGGCTGGGCCTTCAAGGTGGACACTGACATTAGCATATGAGGCTTGACCACCATGTGTATCTGAGTTGGCAGATCTGCTTGGATAAAGATACCCTTTAGCTGTGGTTCCATTGTCTGTCTGTCTGCCTAACAGAAAAATAGCCAGCAGGGTGCCAGTCAGCAAACCACCCGACTGTGTTCATTCTCATGGAAAGTTTTCTACTTCTACCTAAGCACTGTAGTAACAGGGGCCATAGAAGGACAAATTCAGACATCCCAAAATGGAAAGTCAGAGCCCTGAAGACACTGGGATGGTTTTTGCACTACTATTCTATAAATGCATACTGATAGCAATTTTGATTTTGAGGAAGTGTGGGACCTTGAGCCTCTAAAGATTAAAGTGTGTTAGTGGTCCCCTTTTATAGACATAGTGCACAACAGGACACAGCAGAACTAAATGAATATAATCACAGTTCTGGAGAACATTGGCACTCTAGTAACCCGTGTCTGGTGGCAAGTGTCTGTTAACTGCGGTCTGAGCACTGAAGATAGGTGGCATTCCTACACTTAAATGTGTACGTATGATCAAGTTGACCCCTCAGCAGGTTTCCTGTGTGACAGAACATTGAAAACAAATATTTTTAATTTTGGGTTTCTTCCTGTGATTGTCATATCAAAGGGGAATGCATGTGTTACCTGTCTATACATAAAGTGGAAAATTCGTCATCAAAATGTTAGTGAATGATGGGTAGGTGGTTTGGGGAAGCTGGGTAGTGTGTGTCCATAAGCTGCAGAGGTCTCCTTTATCCTAAATTATGTGTGTTGCCTTCCTTAGGCAACTGAGGATTCTCTCAGCTCACCTCCCCATGGTGAGTTCTCTGGTGGGGGACAGTGGAGGTGGGGAACAGATCTTTCCCTATGATTTCTTTTTTCCAGGAGAAAGAGATGGAGAAGCAGAAAACCCTGTATCAGCAAGCTCGGCTGCATGAGCGTGGTGCCGCAGAGATGGTCCTTCAGATGATAAGCGCCAGCAAAGGTGATTTCCCAAGTTCAGGGCAGGGGGCCCATGTACCTATGGCAGATATCACACCATGACATGAAGGTTTATTACTAAAGAGTCCTGATGAAGCCCAGTAGGCATGATTACCATCTGTTTCCTCAGTTATTCAACTCAGTCTTCACTGTGGCAGGTGAGATGAGCCCCATGGTGGTTGAGACTCTGAAGCTGGGGATCGCCATTCTGAATGGAGGCAACGCTGGTGTGCAACAGGTAGTGGGCACTCACGGGAGGTTGTGCAGAGCACATTCCCTTTGGATGGCTGTCATGCTTCAGGGAGGAGGTATTGGCTGCTGCAGAGGGGGCCACCCAGAATCACTTTGCTGGTGTTTGTCCTTAGTGGCCAGTTATATGAGAGAAGCTGGGCATACAGATAAAACCAGGGCTGGGAGTCTACAGGCAAATGTGTACTTAATAAAGAGGTTTTACCCAGGGTTAAAAGAGAGAAACATTTAGTTTTTTTCATTGGTAGATGATTTTCTGCAGAAATATACTCTAGAGGAAGTTTCCTAAGCCTTAGGTTTCTATTTCAGTCCTTTCCCTTACTAGCTGCCTTACTGTGAGCAGGGAGCCTCATCGCTTAAGTGGATTGATAGCCCCACACACCTGTTACTCGTTCATTCATTCGTTTATTCATTCACTGAACAGCTGTTTACTGATTGCTGACCATGCCAGGTTCTGCTGTAAGGGCTGAGGGTGTAGCAGTGAATGAAACAAAAACCCCTGCCGACATGCAGCTTACATGCTAGTGAGCATTAAATAGATAACATTTCAAAGCATACAGGTGAGAGCCTGGCACATGGTATTCATTCAACAATCCAAATTGAAACTGGCTGCAGAAGAAGACGGGAATGCACCTGTGTCTCTCGTGCACTCCAGGCTCTGGCTAAAAGCATCTTTGTGTAAAGGAAAATGAAATCCAAACAGACCCTTGGCATTGATGATGGTTATTTCCCTTTAAGAGTCTCCAACTTCATAATTCTGTATAATTTTTCCCAGCCTTTAATTCATCCCAAGCAAATTTCTCATTAAGAACTATCATTTTTTCAGCCAGCCTTCACTTTCTGCTCTCTTCCACACCACCTATCAGTTGACTTTCTTGCAGGGCCTTTTTTTTTTTACTTTAAATAAACAGAATTGTTATTGTGTCAGACAGTTTCTGCCCTCCCAGTAACAGAGAACACAAGAAACAAAGTCTCACTGGGAGAGAAATACTGAGCTTTCAACTAGGCTCATTACTGGCTAAGGTGGTTGCTCCTGTGTGCCAAACTCATAGCATGAGCTGTTCAGATTATACCTCAGCAACATCAGTCATTACTCTGTCACAGTTGTGGTGCTTGTCCCCAAATAGGAGAGACTTCCAGTAGTAAATCCATGAATGTCACAGGTCTACTATACTGCCTTAGCAGAAATACTGGTGGGCCTTTATAAAATCAACGTGAACCACCCCAAAAGATTTGATTCTGTTAAGTAGAGGGTGGGGCTCAGGTACACATATGGCTATTTTCAGTCCAAAGGTGATTCTGATGCTTAGCCCTGGGTCTGACTCAGTGTGGCTGGGGATTTGTCATTTCTCCCTCAGGATTAGGAGTGTCAATAGTTGTGGCAGAGTTTTCATCGCTTTTCCTTTTAAAATGTGTCTCCCTTACAGAAAATGTTAGACTATCTAAAGGAGAAAAAGGATGCTGGATTCTTTCAAAGCCTTTCTGGTCTTATGCAGTCTTGCAGGTAAATAGGGGATGACCACCCACAGCATTTTAAAACTCTTCACTATTCAAGAGAAAGAGGATTGGGAGTGGGGGGGGATGGCCACAAAATAAAGTGGCCTATCTGAAATTATTAGAGAAAAGTCACTGACTTTAGAAAGCCAAAAGGGTGAGTATTCCTCCAGCCTTCAGAATTACATTCAAAATAGCATTCAGAGAGGAAAACGTAATCGCCATTAGCCACACACACTCACCCTCTGTTTCTCCTGCTATTTTTGATTGCCCTGCTTGCCTTCTTTTTTTGTTATGTTGCTTTGCTACAAGGTTCAGTGAATGCATTGAGTTTCTCCTCAAACATACATGCCCATAAAAGTCAAAGCAGAAAAGAATGGAAAAGAAGAGGACACCTCACTATGACTCAAGGCTATGTCTTCATTAGAGCCATTTGGCACTTTGTCAATCTTTATCCTTAACAACTTTTGGAGTCTGAATAGGTGTTTGGTGGGTACATATTTCAACATACATTTTGACAGAGGTCCATCCTGCCATGGGAACATTTTGGCACAGGCCAAAAGACAAAGCATTGATCTTTGTGTATATATATTACCAAGTTGTGTAAGCTGCCCCTCATGGCTGAACCCTCTGACAAATAACCAATACATAGCCAAAAGTCATACGGTCACCGTACTTGCTCATTTCAGAAATGAGCTAGTAGTCTTTTTAAGAAAAGTAATTCATATTTATTTTTAATAGTCTGGAATTCATTCTAAAATCAAAGTTGTAATTATCTAGCTCATTTGCCTCCAATTAAAATGGAATGTTATGCTTTCCATTTCAAAATTTGGAGGATGGACATCCTTTCCTTTGGTGGACTTGATAATTTTGCTAACCTTATTTGATTGGGTAAATATTGTACCCTGGGATAGTAGGGAGCATATTTGAGCTGCAGTACAATCCCTTATTCTCAGCTCTCTATATTTTTTTCCATCAACAGTCTACTTGTTTATTATCTCTCTCAGGAAAAGAAAATGTAATATTGCCAGACCTGACTCGCTGAGGGTAAAATAGTACATGTGGATTTGGAGATAGCAAAAATCAATACAATTCAGTTTCATATTGCTCATGAAATTCTCCGTTAAATTTCTAAGAGTTCTCTCATTATTCTGCAATACTTAATCTTGCTAAACTCATTTGTAATAATGGCCTGGAAGGACAGGTGACATACACTTAGATGCCAACCTCGTTCTAACAGAAGTTTTAAGATATCTTAATGGGTTTTGGTGATTATAAAAATAATACATATTTGTAGAATACTTAAGCAGTAGAGAAATTAAAACATTCAAAATGGGTTTTTGGAGATGGAGATGTGTGTTGCACAGACGCAAAATCAAAACTGCTGCTTCAGAGCAACTATGTTCAAATGTCCTTTTCGATGTTATCCTCTCCTTAAAGCAAAACCCAAATAGAAGGATCGTTTTGTAATGCTGAGCAGACCCTTTTTACAGTAGAATCTGGAGGGGAAATCAATAAAGAAGGCAATAGAAATTTCACTGTTTCCTGTTTAAAATTCACCTAAATTGCAGAATTTATGTGACTCCCTAAAAAGGGAAAAGGGAGGCTGGAATTTTCCCGGTGTCTTTCCAATCTGATAGTCCTTTTCTTTGCTCAGTGGTAAAGGTGGGAGGCGAACGTTAACTAGTGAAGTTTAAAGTAAGCTTTCCTTGAGAAATCGTAGAAACGGATTATTCCTCCCTTAATTGTGAAGCCTTTCTAAATCTTCATTTGTAAGAAAGGACTCAAACTAGACAACGATAGTCACCATAAATGTTTATGACCCCCTCCCTGTATGTGACAAGGTCTGTGAGCTGTAGGCATCTTAAAGAACACTGTTTGGCATGAAGCCAAGGAACCATTAGACTTTCAACCAAATTGTAAAGTATTAGTCCACTTATGATAATACAGAGACAGGATATTCTTAGTGAATAGATACATTGACATTAGAAATCCATTTTCCAGCGTGCATATCCCTGAACCTTGCTTTCTTTTGTCTACTAAAAGTGTCCTTGATTTGAATGCATTTGAGAGGCAGAATAAAGCTGAAGGCCTGGGGATGGTTACTGAAGAAGGAACACGTAAGTAACTATTGAACATGAAGGCCATTCTCTTCCTCATTAAAATCTTTATTAACCATTTCTGGTTAGATAGAGTCCATGTTCACTGCTTCTTAATCTGAAAAGGCCTGCTCCGTTTTAGTGAAATGTTTCCATCGGTAGCTTTGGTAAAGCCAGCATCCTGGCTGGATGTGTTCGTAGTGCCAGTTTTAACTAGACAGTTTATCATGGTGTTTATAGTTTTCTTACTTTGTATTTTTCTGTTTTTCCCTTATCACTAGTCATTGTTCGTGAGCGTGGTAAGTTTGCATTTCTGGCCTGAGTTCCTACCATGTGTGCAAACCCTAAGAGATCTCATTTAATTGCCTCAGCACAGACCCATGTAAGGCTTGGTGGTTGCATGTCAAGTTTAACTCAGCAGTTTGAAGCTTAATTAAAAAAGTGTCTTCCATCTGTAAAGCGTGGATGACTGTGAACCATTTACTGCCATTATCCTAATTGTTTTCATTACAAACGCTTTTTGGGGCTAAATATTTTTGCCTTTTTTGGGCACTGTGCTCTGAAGCCTCAGCTCCAGTTTAGCTGGGTTTATTACCATTTGTCCAAAGTTCCTTTTCCAAATCATTCTAACACAACTCCTTTATCATTTTTCTAGTAATTTGCACTAGAAGGTGTTTTGTATTGAGAAGTCAAATGCTCACTAGTATTTTGCGTTTTCAAGGTGAAAAAGTACTCCAGAATGACGAGTTCACACGAGATCTCTTCAGATTCCTACAGTTGCTTTGTGAGGGACATAATAGCGGTAAGTGGAACACATTGATTTGTCAAGGGAAAACAACGTTCATGTACAAAATTGTAACCAGTTGAGCATGCCTTGTTTGACACAACCTGTTGCTAACTCAAGGACATCAGTTAACCCATTCCTCAATGAGAAACTCTGTACAAAATGACCTGTAACTTCATGGCTAATGTTATTTAGTGCCACCAGGGCTAAGTTGCTTCCAGAATCTTCAGATGGTAAATCTAAATACCCAGCCCTTTTTATCTCGCTCATTCAGGCTCATTAAGGTCAGTTTCTGGTGTCAGCAGATTGGGAGGGCCAGAGCAGAGCCCTGACCTCTAGGATCTGCCAGGACCTAAACATGGTGTCCTCGTAAGGTTTTTCCCCTAGTGTGTCTCTTCTGAACTCAGCTGAGAGGGCATGCCAGCCTCCCTCAAAATGACGGGGATGGGCTCTGACCCAGCTCTGGTGCTCTCAGACTTTCAGAACTTCCTGCGGACGCAGATGGGCAACACCACCACCGTGAACATCATCATCAGCACTGTGGACTACCTTCTCCGTCTGCAGGTGAGTGGGAAGGCCCTGGATGGTGGCATCTCTCACCTGAACTTCCAAAAGCCAGAGACAGTTACACAGGGTCAGGGAAGGCCAGGATATAGTGGAGCCCCAGTAAGGAAGGCATTGTGATCTATGTCCATACTCATATGGGAAGTCAAATGCTTAACAGATGTGTTTGAAGACTGATGTGGTTAAATACCAAATCATCTCTTGTAAAATACTGGTTTACTTTAGTTTTGTCAATGAAAACCTAGCTGCCATGCCCAAGAGCTGTAAAACAACCTGCAAATGAGGAAAACAGATTTCACTAGGAGAAAGAGTTACATAAGGTGACGGGAGTAAGATGCACTTATAAGTTCTTAGTGTTGAGAAATCTCTTGGTTGAATTGTTTGAAGGAAAGTCCCCATTATATTGAGAAATCTACACAAACATAAAAAAGGATTCTCTTTTCTCTTTGCTGATTCCTCATCCTGGTTCTGCCAATTACTAGTTCGTAACCTGGAGCAATCTATTTAATCTCTCTGTGTTCCAATTTTCTTATCTATAAAATGGGTAGAACCCCTCTCATAGAATGGTACTAAAGATTAAGAGGTTTAATATATATAATGTGCTCAGAAAAAATGTCTACCACTTAGCTATTATGTTGCTGCTGTTATGATTATTTGGATGATAGTCATTATTATCTGTAATGTACATTTTTTACTTTGAATAAATTGTCCAATATCATAGCCTCCCAGGTCCAGCTGAAGTCTGTCCTCTCTCCTGTCTGTTCTTTCCTCTGGAGGGATACTATTGCTTGAGAGACACTAGGGACCAGACATCTCTGTACCTCTTCACAGAGTCCCTGGCATCTGTCATAGCAAAGAGATCATAGAGATGTAGGATTCTTTTGTCCTCTTCCTGAATATTGAGTTTAGCTTCACTGACTGATGTCTGAGAAATACTAAATTCTTTTTGTTTGTTTTTAGGAATCAATCAGTGATTTCTACTGGTATTATTCAGGGAAGGAGATTATTGATGAATCTGGACAGCACAATTTTTCCAAGGCTCTGGCAGTCACCAAGCAGATCTTCAATTCTCTTACAGAATATATCCAGGTATGTGCTACAGAGTGCATGCTTGAAAGTACAGAAAATGTTTTTATCATTCCCATATTCTATATTCCCTGTAGAATATTTGGATGCACATAGTAGACTGTGCATCCAGCCCTAATATTGACAATACTTCTTATCTATAAAAAGGAACCAATAGTACCTCCACTCTTTGAGAAGCTATTGTTTGTAGTCACCCACTGGGACCTGTTCAACGCATTGTCACATAATTTGCATTTATCTAGTTATATTTTGCTTTTCCTCCTAGACTGAAAACTTTTCATAGGCAGAAAATTTCTTATTCAACTTAAAATTCTTCACATCTAGAACAATGTTTGGCGCATCACAGGTGTTCAGAGGTGGAGAATGGAGTGGAGAAATGATTAAAAGGATGAAGGAATAAAGGGATAAATGATGTTATCTTGAGTTGAGATTAAAAACCAAATCTAGGAGATTCTGCTAATTTGTTAGAAATTGTGGAAAAAGTACTTTCAGAAGCACATAAACTATGTGCAGTGGCAGTCAATTTGACAGGTGAATTTCAGGTTGAATGTCTAGATCTTGCAGCAGTCTTTCTCTGTTCATGGCATTCTCTACTCATTGTCTACAGAGGTCTAGCTACTATGAAAAAGTGTAGAAGATATATTCAGGCATAATTCACTATAAAATCTGTAACTATATCATAACCCTCTATGATATAAGATTTTTTTAAGCAAATGTAACATTTCATCTTCAGATTCATAATGAGGAGACTAGCAAGTAAGACTGTCATTCATTCATTCGTTCATTCATTCAACAATATACTTAGTTTGTGCTCTGTACTGTGATTCATGGAAAGAGGGATAACATATTGCCTTGATCCTTAAAGAGCTTACAATGCAACTGAGAAAATATATACACATGTGAAAAATTACTTGATAAAGACAATCATACATGATTTAAAATCATCATAAATATTATGCTTAAGAAACACACACACTTAAGTTCAGAGGAAGGTAAGGTCCTTATGAGCCAAAGAGCTCAGAGTCTTCACAGGGACAGGTGGGCTGTGGATGGATGCAGAGGAGGAAGTACATTCTGGGTCAGTTGTTTGGAAAAGTTGTAGAGATAGGATTGTGCATGGCTTCTTGAGGAATAATGTTAGCAACTACATCAATCTTGCTGAAACAGAAGAGAAAGGCAAGGAAAGAAATGGGGGATATTTTATCCTGCTTTTTGCGCACCTTCATTTCTTTTCTGTTGTTTGGAAAAGTTGTAGAGATAGGATTGTGCATGGCTTCTTGAGGAATAATGTTAGCAATTACATCAATCTTGCTGAAACAGAAGAGAAAGGCAAGGAAAGAAATGGGGGATATTTTATCCTGCTTTTTGCGCACCTTCATTTCTTTTCTGAAGAACATTCTGTATTCCAAGAGTCCAAGAGTTTTAGTGGCTCTTTTAATAGGTAATAAGATGGAGCTCAAATTTGTTCTATGAAAAACATTAAATTCTCATCTAATAAAGTTCAATATGATGAGCCAACTGGCACACTTAGATCATATTTGCTCATTAAATTAAATGGAAAACTAATATTATCAACTTGAAAGAGAGATTTTTAAAGAGGAAATTGATCTTTGTCACTCAAGCACTGTAAAGACATGGAGAAATAAACCTAGGAACAGGTGACTGATCTGAAGTTTCACAATGTGAAATACCTAAGAAGATCATTGAACACATTTGGCAAGCATCTGATTTAGTCTCTGTAGAACCCATCCTAATCTTCAGAATTTCCCATGGAGCACTTAACCCAAAAGTAAAGGAGAAGCTTATTTTTGGTGAATGTGAGTTTCTTTCAATAACCAGTTTTGTTTTAAAAAGAATTTAGTGGCTTCTAGGGATCAGACATTGAATGTACATTAACAGTGATTTTTTAAAAAGCTTATGTGATTTGAGGATGCAGGCAATACTTCTGCTCACCTCTTACTTGGGAATCCTGCCTAGACTTTTCTAGAACTTGAGGTAGTATTTGTGTCCTCTTTAGAGCTTTCTTATTAAAGAGCGATTTGGAGATTAGTTAAAAGGCAGAAAAAATAGACTATAAGGAAAAGTGAAGGATT